AAAAAAAAAAGACACCATTTTTTAATGAACCCCTAATGAAACTAAAGTCATACTTCACTTGAACTGTGCACCAGAGAGCCATCAGTTGTAAAATATTTCCAGATTTCAGAGATATTGAAGTCTCTCAAGTCTCTAAGAATCATTGAAATAATGGGGTTTTTAGCCCTGGGTTTATTATAGATCCTACCAGAAATGCCAGAACCTGGGGTTTGGCTAATTGCAGAGAAGTAGTGACATGTTGTTGAATGTGTTTGGTTGATTTCTCTGACCTGTGACCCAAGAGGACAAAGTGCATGAGTAGGAGAGAGATAGGTGACAGTCACAGAATGGGGACACTGTGTGGTGTGAGAGAGACTGATCATGAGAGCGCAGATCTGGGAAGGATCCGTGTAGCAAGGAGCAGTGTCCCCACATGGGACGATGTCTGCACAGCCCATGGTGGGACCTTGATGGAGTGTCCAGTCTGTCCAGGTCTCACCCTCCTCTTTTGTGGCACCAGGGCCAGGTATCCTGTGGTTCACGGCTCCAGAATCTAGAGACTCATGAGACCAGAGGGTGCACTCCTCTCCCATCATCACAGACCAGTGGTTTACTGCATTGCACTCCTCTGTTGGCCAGGATGGTTCAAGTGACTGTTCTTAGGCCCTAGGCTGGTTGAATTCCCCCTCGTGTGCCTTAAGGAGGAATTCCATGTTGTCAGCACTGTATTCTGTGGCCTGAACCTTACCTCAGGGTTATTTGTGGTGACTTCAGGACAGTCCCTTTTTACTTACTGTTTGTTACATAGTTTATTGGATACTTACACTTGCTAAGCATTGTCCATTTGGCTCTTACCTTCCCTAAGAATAGAAACGGGAAATAAAAGATAATAAGGATGGGTTTCACAATTTGCAAGTTAGGTTATTTGTAGAAAAATTGGAGAGGTTTTAGAATTTGGAGTAAAAACAACATTGGAGAAATAGGATGAAGCAGTTAATTCACAGTATAGGACTAAGTAATGAGATTTGTGGTTTTAGTGGATGGTTTGGAAACTGTTCACATGATGTGTTTGTATGAGCTAAGAATAAATTTGTAAATGTTTGAGAAGAAAAAGATGAATATTGTTTTGTGATGTGAAAATGACACAAAATTTGAATGAGTGTCTGTAGTTTTATTGGCACAAAGCCATGCTCATGGAAGTTCATGTCACCCGTGGGTCCTTTTCTCTTACCAGGCAGCACTGAGTGGTTGCCATCAAAGCTCTTGGGTGGCCCACAAAGCCTAAAATACTTACTCTCTGGCCCTTTAAGACAAATTATGCCCTGGCTTAGAACTCACATTATTCTGTGAGGGGTGATAGTGTTAAATTATCTAGCATGTTAGAAGAGAAAGAGTTATATACTTGTGAACGGTAGAGGGTGTAGCTTGCATCCGATAGCTTTATTAAATGATGCTTGGCTTTTTCTTTTAACAGAGATATCGAACAAAGCCGTACTGTTGTGGCCTCTGTAAATACTCCACAAAAGTGCTTACTTCATTCAAAAATCATTTACATCGCTACCACGAAGACGAAATTGACCAGGAGCTGGTGATCCCCTGCCCAAACTGTGTATTTTCCTCTCAGCCCAAAGTGGTGGGACGGCACTTCAGAATGTTTCATGCACCTGTTCGGAAAGTGCAGAACTACACCGTGAACATCTTGGGGGAGACTAAGTCGTCCAGGAGTGACGTCATCAGTTTTACGTGTTTAAAATGTAACTTTTCAAACACATTGTACTACAGCATGAAGAAGCATGTGCTGGTGGCCCATTTTCACCACCTAATTAACTCCTACTTTGGCCTGCGAACTGAGGAAATGGGTGAGCAACCCAAAACTGACGATCCCCCTTCTACGGAGAAAATGCCATCCTCTGACAAGTATTACTGTAAAAAGTGCAACGCCAATGCCAGCAGTCAGGATGCGCTGATGTATCATATTTTGACATCAGATATACACAGGGATTTGGAGAATAAGCTCAGGTCTGTGATTTCAGAGCATATTAGGAAGACTGGACTTTTGAAGCAAATGCATATTGCTCCCAAACCAGCTGCACACTTGACCATACCACCAGGCAGCAGCGCTCCAGGTGTCGCCGCCACGTCCCCTTGTTTTCATCTCGCCTTGCCACCAAACAGTCAAAGCCAGACCACAGTCCAGCCAGTTCAGGGCTCAGTCCAGCCAGTGACGGTGGCCTCGGGTACTTCTGGAAGCCTCACCCATTCTCCGCCTGCCTCTGCCCAGTCCCACGTGACTCTGGTCTCCAGTCCCCTGCCTGGGGGCCAGAGCAGCCTCACTGTGCCACCCTCAGGGCCGCAGCCTGTCTTCCTTTCTCATGGAGTCCCACTTCATCAGTCTGCAAACCCTCCTGTATTGCCCTTGAGTCAGCCAGTTGGACCTATCAGTAAGTCTGCTGGAACTGGTGTCCTCCCCATAAACCAGACCATCCGCCCAGGGGTTTTACCTCTCAACCAGCCTGTTGGGCCCATAAGCCGACCAGTTGGGTCTGGAGTTCTTTCAGTAAACAGACCTGTTGGGTCCACCGTCCTTCCTGTCAGTCCCTCTGTCACCCCTGGTGTTCTTCAGGCAGTCTCTCCAGGGATGATTTCTGTGAGTCGGACTGTCCCATCAGGTGTCCTTCCTGCAGGCCAAATGACCCCTGCTGGGGTTATTCCTTCAGGACAGACAGCAACTTCTGGGGTTCTCCCTGCTGGCCAGATGGTCCAATCTGGGGTTCTCCCCATTGGCCAGACAGCCCCGTCTGGGGTTCTTCCCCCTGGGCTCACAGTCCCATCACGGGCACTTCCTCCTGGCCAGACTGTCCCCCTACGGGTTCTCCCTGCAGGCCAGGTGGTTCCACCTGGGCTCCTTTCTCCCACCCAGACAGTCTCGTCAAGCATTCTCCCTGGGAACCAGGGTGTGAATTCTGGTGTGCTGCATCTCAGCCAGCCGGTCATGTCAGGAGTTCTCCCTGTGAGCCAGCCAGTGAGGCCTGGGGTCCTGCAACTTAATCAGTCTGTGAATACCAACATTCTGCCTGCCAATCAGCCAGTTAGACCTGGTGCTTCACAAAACACAACTTTCCTGACATCAGGCTCCATTCTCAGGCAGCTGATACCTACAGGGAAGCAGGTGAATGGCATTCCCACATACACGCTTGCCCCGGTATCTGTCACTTTGCCTGTGCCACCTGGAGGCGTTGCAGGTGTCACTGCACCCCAGGTGCCTATCCAGCTCCTGCAGTCAGGCACAGCCTCACAAATGGCCAGTCCTATGGCTGGCATGCCCTCTACCCCAGTGGTGGTGAATGCAGCTCCAAACGTATTCATTCAGCCTTCCTCCTCCGTAGCCGAGGCAAGCCCGGTGCTCAAACAGGCAAAGCAATGGAAAACCTGTCCCGTTTGCAATGAGCTCTTCCCTTCCAATGTCTACCAGGTCCATATGGAAGTGGCACATAAGCACAGTGAGTCCAAATCAGCTGAAAAGCTGGAGCCGGAAAAACTGGCTGCATGTGCACCATTTTTAAAGTGGATGAGAGAGAAGACAGTTCGGTGCCTCTCTTGTAAATGCTTGGTATCGGAAGAAGAGCTCATCCATCACCTACTGATGCACGGCCTGGGGTGCCTGTTCTGTCCGCGCACTTTCCATGACATCAAAGGCCTTTCAGAGCACAGTAGGACCATGCACCTGGGGAAGAAGAAGGTACCTGTGGATTATAGTAACAAAGGTTTCCAACTGGATATTGATGCCAATGGCAACCTGCTGTTTCCCCATCTTGATTTCATTACCATGTTGCCAAAGGAAGAGTTGGGGGAGCGGGAAGTCTACTTGGCAATACTGTCTGGGATACACTCCAAGTCACTTGTGCCCGTGTATATTAAGGTGAGGCCTCAGATGGAGGGTGCACCTGGGGGCCCCAGCAAACAGGCGTTGACCTGCCCTTTTTGCTTTGGCACCTTTGTGACAACCGAGGCGTATGAACTCCATTTGAAGGACAGGCACCACATCACACCAACAGTCCACACGATTTTGAAATCCCCAGCTTTCAAGTGCATCCACTGCTGTGGGGTTTACACTGGAAACATGACCCTGGCGGCCATCGCCATCCACCTGCTGCGCTGCAGAAGTGCCCCGAAGGACAGCAGCTCGGACCTGCAAGTCCAGCCGAATTTCATTGAGAACAGTGAGCTACTTCTGGTCAATGGCGAGGTGCTGCACGACTCCAGCTGTTCTGTAAAGAGGAAGCTGCCTGATGGCCACTTTGGGGCAGAAGACCAGCGGGAAGGGGAGCAACGACCTCTGGCCATAAACACCGATGCGCCCCCGGCTCCAGAGAAGGTAACGAGTGTTGTGCCTCTTAAAAGACAAAGGAATGAAAGCAGGACGGAGGGACCCCTTGTTAATGATGACGCTCTTCAGATCTTAGCATTAAATCCCAAAAAATATGAAGACCGTTCTTATGAAGAAAAAAAGCAATTTCTTAAAGATTATTTCCACAAGAGACCATATCCTAGTAAAAAGGAAATAGAGCTGCTGTCCTCACTCTTGTGGGTATGGAAAATTGATGTGGCTTCATTTTTTGGGAAAAGAAGATATATTTGCATGAAAGCAATAAAAAGTCACAAGCCTTCTGTCCTTTTAGGCTTTGATATGTCTGAACTTAAAAATGTTAAACACAGATTGAACTTTGAGTATGAACCACAAAACTTGTAAAAAAAAAAATAGGAAATTAGTACTTTTTTTCAATTGAGATTTAAAAAGAAGTTATTTTCTTCACTGTATGTTGAACTAATCAATTTCAGTGGTCTTTATGCTGCTCTTTAGATGTATTTCAGGTGCTCAGCAAGACTTCATATGAAGAAGTGATAGTTCTTTCAAGGTTATAATTCCCTGCAGTTGGGTTTTGTCACATTTTTAGTTTTTTTCCTCTGTTGAGTAAAGTAAATCTTTTGATATTTCGTGCACGGCTTGTTTTCCCAATAGTGTCAGGGTCCTATGATAATAACAAATCTACATGTTTGTTTTTTCATTTAAGGAAATTTCAGCTTGTTTCTGAATACTTAATTAACTGCAAATTAAAGCTTTGATCTCCCTCAGCTTCACATGTAGCTGCAAATGATGTGGTAAATGTTTAGAGAAGTGAGCACAGACCCTTGTGACGTGTGCGGCTCTAAGGATGCATGGCATTCACTACACTGATTTCTTTTGTAAGATATTTGCTCATTAGATTATAATTTTCATTTACCTTTTTTTAGGTTTTTCTTAGCCATTTTTGATCATAACTCACAGAAAACCAAATGTTTTCATTTGTTAAAAAAATACTGAACCTGAAGTCTGGTATTTTAGCTCATAAGTTGAGTTATTTTACAAATAAAGTAATTATTTTCAGTGTAGACTTCCCCCTTTTTGATATGGTGATGTCATTTTTCCATTCAAAGGTAAGACAATAAATCTTTAGTGCCTTTAGAATAAATATTGAAAATACACACACAGACTCTCCTACTGACCTAACTATTCATAAACCAGTGAAAGGGAAGGACCGTATTACTCAGGAATAAAACTTTTACCCCTGAGTGTGGATAATGAAATGTAAACATAGGTTTTCAGGGACAAGGGGAAGTCAGTAGACCAAGAGCTAAGTTCCATGGTTGGGCCATTAATTTTTGACAGTTTCCTAGAAGTCAGGGTATTGGTATTGGGGAGATGGGCGTTCTGTAACCCAGTGTCTGGCTAATGGGATGGGTATAGCGAACGGACTCCATTCTGTTACTGCTCTTTGGACAGTTAAACCTTGGGTTTTTTCACGTAACAACACAGAATAGAAGAACTTAAAGCACCAGAACCAGTAATGGAGACCAACCTTGAGTCATATTTATTGCTGGTGACATACAGCAGAGGGACCTGTCCAATATATTCAGAAGATATGACAGTCTCTGGGAAATAAGATAATGTTACTATATATGGATTTAAAATATATTTGCATGTAATTCCTATAATGTGCATTTTTGGGGCAATTGTGAAACTGGTCTGTGATTGTTGGTGTACTCTGTTGTAAATTCAAAAAGAGCTTGTTGAAGTTTATTTTTTTTTTTTTACCTATTGTTTTCAGAGTGTCTATTTTGAATTAAAATTTGTTATACCACTATAAACAGAACTGTTTAATTCTTTTAACAGTTAAAACATCACTGTGACTCACAGGAATAATCTCAGAGTGGAAATAGACACCACATTTATTTTCTAAAAGAACATTACTTGTCATTGTGGAAATAAGGCAGCATAACCCAGAAGGCTGGCTGCTGACCAGGTTCACAAAATAGATGTGGCTAGGTATTCTTGACACGTCTGTACAGTGGCCACCAAACTGTCCAGAAGGAGTTTGCTCTCTGGAGGCTTTGCTCCTTAGTGCCCTGGTGGAGGAGGGCAAGTTGCTGTCTGTCTGATTTAACCCACCTTTTTTTTAGTCATGTGTATCAGGATTTCTGTTGGTATTTTGGGCCTGATAACTTGTTGGGGTGAGTGTCCTGTGCATTGCTGAACTGTAGCAGCATTCCTTCCTCTACCCTACCCTTTGCCCAGGGCTGACAACCAAAACTCATTGCCAAGGGTCCCTGGGGGGTGGGGGCAGGATCGGCCCTGAAGAGAATTGCTGTGATAAAGGAATTCTGACTTCCAATTGGATTTTAGCTATAGTTCAACTTCTGATGCTGAGTCTTCTTATGTTAGGCTAGTTACTGGTTTTTAAACAATTTTTTAGGCTCACAAATTTAGGCGAAATTCTATATAAGCCAAGCTTCCAAAAGCACATGTGAGAGTTCTTGCACATGTAAAAAAAAAAAAAATGAGTGTATAGCAGTGGGCAAAAGTAGGTTTACAGTTCTACGGAACGACAGGCAGGTTCTAATGATCACAACAGCTGTAAACTCAGGCATGACTGTAGACCTGCTTTTGCCCACCCCTGTGTTTATTATTTGGAAATGGAAAATTGAACTACAGATTAATAGTCAGTGGAGGTTTTAAAAACTGTCCTAAAAGATTATTAGAAATTGAGAAGGGAAGGAAACAGTTTTTTTTATATGATAGTCACAAAAAATTTTATACTTTAAAATATTTCTTTTCCTATGTAATGTCAGCCTTTTTTTTTTTTTTTAAATCACCCAAGGAGTGGGTATTTTTTTCCATTGCTTATTAGAGAGAGTGGAAGGGAGGGGGAGAAAAACATTAATGAGAGAGAGACCTCAACTAGTTGCCTTCCACACTCGCCTTGACCAGGAATCAAACCCATGACCCTCTGGTGCTCTAACCACTGGGAACGCTGGCCAGGGCAGCATCAGCTTTTAAAATACTATATTTTTGAAGTCTATTCAGTTAAAATACTATCTTGGCTTCTCTGAATTAACTTACCTTTATTTGATGTTATTTTTAAATAAATAAAAACCACATCAGTTCACTTGTTAGCAGGGAATAAGTGAGAAGGCCAGAGACAGAGATTGGGGAGCACACACATTCAGTGTCTTGGGGGCAGATGTCACCGTGAGGAACACAGGCGGGACCAGGGCAGGCATGAAGCCAGGCAGACAAGTGCACGTGGCCAGAATCTTGTATTGATACGGGTTCTCTAAATCCACCACGTTGTCAGTTTGCAAACATACAAATACTATCATTCACACAAATGATCTAGTTACACATTTTGAGAGGAAAAATATGTAATGCTGCTAGATAATAGCTAAGGTTAGTTTTCCACAGCTTTTTGAAGGAGGTGCCCCCCAAACTACTTTATCCCACTCATAAAATCATGCGCAGTATGGTTATTTATTTTTCTGATCCATCCATTGGTTGCCTCTTCTATGTGCCCTGATCGAGGATCAGCCCCTCAACCTTGGTGTATCAGGATGATACTCTAATCAGCTGAGCCACCCAGCCAGGGCTACGGTGGTTTATTTTTAAACAAAAAGTCTTTTCCAGAAGGGAAGCTTTTCCAATAAAAATTTAAAAATTATTAATGTTTAAATTATAAACCAAACTTTAGCAACCATATAGACATGTTTACTCTGCATAAACTAAGAGTGTGTGGTCATACTTTCAACTACAAATTCAGAACTAGTTGTCATGAATGAATATCTTTTTTCAGAACATAGTTTCTTGCATTTTGTAACCGTGATGGGGAGGAGACCGTGATGGACAAATGTACACAGCACATTCCCAGGAAACCTGGCCCAAAGACACTTTACTGCTTTAGTAAAAAATGTCAGCAGTATTAACTATATAGTGACTTTTTATAAAATAATTTTGCTGATAATCTTCGAGTCTGCACACAAATAGTGCTTTATTTTTAATGAGGAATGGGACATTAGCATAATCTCAAACTACCTTCCCTCATAGATACTAATTACAAAGGGAAATGGCGTAATTTATCAGTGGAGGAGCCGTGCAGGTGCCATCCCCGCCCTAGAATTCTACGCATCCCCCCTCAGCCCCTCGTGCCCCTGGAGCATGCGCCCGAGCCTGTCCTACCCACGCAGGACAAGGCTGTCCACTCAGCAGTCAGCAGGAACCGGCGACTCTGCTCAGGGTCGGCGTTCGGCTTAGGACGTTGTCCTTTGAGAGAAAGTCAGCGCCTCTCTCTGTGCAGTTTGCTCTCTCAGCTTGCCGAGTATGTATCACTTGGACATTTTTTATTCCAAGTTTATTATCTATAAACTGATACACCAGTTTCTTTCTGCCTTTCAGACCAGTGGACATCCTCAGCCCGTCTGTGTGGAGTAATTTGCCCGCCTCTGGGGGAATCTCGGCGTTCGTGTTGGTTTGCTTGCTTCCCGTGCGCCCTGTTTTGGATCTGTCTGCATGTCCCGACCCCGGCCAGCCCAGTGTTTCTCTTACGCGCCGGGACTGTAATTCTCTGCCTCTGTGATCGTATCCTGCACGTAACAGGACATGTAGTGAAATGAAATGAAAACCAAATTGTGGGTAATGCAGTTTGGCGATCTGTATTAAAGATGTGAACACTCAGTGACCTAGTGTGGTTCCCATGTCATCCAATATGATGGCAAAACTCAGCCCAAAGCAGCCCCCTTCCTCCGCACGGCGAGGGAAGCGAGGGTGAGCCCGAGAGAGAGCGCGCGGGCGCGGAGGTGGGAACGCGGCACCGGGGCGGGGGCGGGGGAGACGCTTCTGCGCCGGGGCTGGGGATTGCGTGCACAGAAGCGCGCACCTTCCACCGGCAGCAGCCTCGGGGGCGGGTCCTCGGCGTGCGGGGCGGGGTTTGGAGGCGGGTCCTCGGGGCAC